TGATATTAGTCTTTTGGCGGCTTGGTAATTTCATTTAACATAATTACTTCCAGTTCCATTCACCGGTTACAAATGACAGTATTTTTCACTCTTCTTAATGACTCAGTAATAGTCCATTTTGTATATGTACCATATTTTATTTATCCATGCATAAGTTAGTGAATGCTCAAGTTGGTTCCATTTTTTAGCTACTGTGAATAATTCTCCAATAAGCAAGTTGGTGTAGGCGTGTCTTTATCATGCCACTTTCTTTCCTGTTGGATACAGTATGGAGTTGTAGGATCATTTATCAGTTAAAATTAATTCTTACAAGTTTTTCTTATTACCCAATTTAACTTCATAACTCTCTCTCAGTACATTTTATTAGAGAGTAAATGTTGCTTTTTTGTGGTACTTTCGATCATTACTTTTTGCATCTTTTCTATCATGACTATCATGTTTTCCCAGTATTTGAATTCTGTTACTTATAATGACTTTTAAGCAAAAATGTTGAGATTTTCTTCTTACAGTTCTGTGCTCTTTCTTTTGACTTCTAATAATCATTCTATAAGATTATTTTAGTCAAAAACTTAACACTTTTATCACATGTGTATTCATATATTACTATCATTCTTTAACTTCATTTGTAAGCATGAATTATATTTCATATATATGGCTTTTATCTTTAATAAATAAAATGAATAGTTCTGCTTTTTTTTAATTTTAAGGGCTAGTCCTATTGGTTGATATTATTTATGAAGCCAGTAGATTTAGGTCAGCATTGGTTAAAAAGATGGAAGTGCACTTTAATAAAGTCAGTTGACTGGAATGTTTATTTCAGTGTGTTGTCAACTATGCTATTTTATGTAGTCTGTATATATGTAAATGAAAATATTGTTTTTCTTCTAATAGTAATCAAACAAAACTTATTTTAAAATATAAATTTTAAAATAAAAAAATTATATTTTAAAATATAAATTTGTTGAGTTATAGAGTTTTCAATAATTAAATTATTTTATGGTGATTTGATATCTAAAATTGCCTTGCTTTTACACGGCCTCTTAAGTAAATAATATACTAAGTTCTAAATCTACATCTAAAATGAAGATTTCTATATGTCAAAGATTAGAATTAAAAGCTGACCTTTCAACCATTAAATTGGTTATAATTCAATATAATTTGTGCTTTTCTTTTTATTGAGTACTTTTTCTTCCACTGTCACGGGCCATGTTTTACAATGCTTTCTTTATTTTCCTACATTGAGATCCCTTGGATCAGATCCACTAGGTTACGGGACTTGAGCCTTTTTCTGGGGGAGAGAAGCTAGTTTACATGCATACTGTTTCTTTCCCACCTTAAAGCAACAGAATAGACAAAAACTTCTGCCCAGTGGAAAACTTATGAGCTGTCCCTGGCACTGTTTATTGTTAAAATATGCCCCTTTGTAGTAGAAGTGCACTGTGTCCTTTCCTACTTTTTAAACAGTAAGTAATGAAATATAAGTTGAATAAGGGAATGCAGGAAAATAAACTGCTCCAATCTCTCAATATCTTATTTTCACTTTATTAATTCACTCACAATATGTGAGTTGAAGAGATGAGTTGTGGTGACTGGTGGAATGCATATGGATGGCTTCCAGATTCTCTGCATGCCTCAGGACTTTTTTCTTCTGTCATGAAAACAAAAATGTCAGGGAAACTGTCTAGAACTCACAGGAGTCATGAGAATGAGACAAAAAGTAGAACATTATATGTCACACATTTTTTTTTTATATGTCACGTATTTGTGTACTGAACAACTAATTGGTTTCATTTAGATAAAAGGTAGGTACAGTGAAGTGTATGGATGTTAAGTGTCAGTGCAATGATTTGTGATACATGTATGCACAGTCTATGTAATTAAACCTCTCAAAGTTGGCATTTCTGACACCTCTGAAGGTGTTCTATTCCTTTTTACTATGCATACCAGCCAGGACACATGCTTTTTGTGTTTCTTCACTGCTAAGTTTTACGATCATAAAGCTCAATATCTTTGATAATAACACTTAATAAATTATTAGATAATAATAAAAGTATATATCATTTTTGTTTTCATGACTAGTATTTGCTAAGATTCTGGTAACACTTTTGCTTAGTGAGTTCTCTTTTTATGTGTGCCTGTTTTTGGAAACAGCATGTGGGAAATTTAGGAAAAAAATATAGACTATGCTCTGGGATCTTTCCTAAGGAGAATATGAATAAAATAAGGATCCTCTTCTAGTAGGAGCCTCGTGTTTGCCCAAGCATGTAGACAGTCTCTATCAGGATCATTGAAAGTGTTTAATAAAATATGAATTCCTAGGAAATGCTCTTGCGCCTCTGCATCCGAAGCTCTGAGAACCAAGATTGTACTGCCACTTTCATATAAATGATCAGTCCAGGTGACTCTTGTGCATAAATCCTATCAATAAACAACTTTGTTAGCCTTTCTGATTTTAATTACCTACTCTATAAAGAAAATTTATTCCTTTTTTTGTACCAAGAATCAAACTCAGGGCATTGTGCTTGCCAAGCAGGTGCTGTGCCACTGAGCTACATCCCCAAGCCCCATTTCTTAAATGAGGTAACAAACCTTTGAGACATCTCTGCTATATTGTAAGGCACCACATATGTTATCAAGTGTTACTATTGTTATGTTATTAATGACCCTTGCCTAATAATAAACTAGCAATATTAAGATTTTTGAGGTAAAATCCTTAGCAGGATTAGTTTCCAATATATTCTCACCTACATCTCTAATAGCAACCTCACTCTAAGTAAGCTCAGGTATCATCAGAATTTTGTTTTTAGACTATTTGAATGAGTGATATTTCCCCTATTATAGTTTTATACATGTTACTTTCCCTTGATAGAACACATTCTGCTCTTATAAATCATCTCAAATACACTGCTCCTTAATATACTGTGTCTCAAAGTATCAAGTAGGCATAAGTATGAATATGAATGTGTTCAGATTCTAATAGCATTTTTATTTTAAAGCATTTATTACAGTTATAGTTTTAGATTTTTGTTATAGTAGTAATGGGTTTTTAATCTACATTTGTTCCCAACTCAGAATTGACACTATGTCAGATGTTGTAAGTCACTGACAAGTGTCATGGGTTATGTCTATGGCCCCCAGGCCTCATAAGTCTGAATTGTGCATTTGTTATTCATTCATTGTTTAGTGCTTGTATTGATGGTGTCAGTGCTCCATCCACATAGGGGTGGAGCTAGGATGTGATGTAATGGCAGGAAGAAGGTGTGTCTTGCTCTTTGCTGGTTCCTGTTTTGCTATTTGCAGCCGCCATGAACTGCGGCCCAGCCATGTCGGCCTGCCTCGGAGTCAACTGAGTGTGGACTGAAACCTCCAAAAACTGTAAGAAATAAACCTTTCCTTTTCCAACTTGGGCTTCAGGTATTTTGTCTCAGCAATGAGTAAAAGGTAACTAAGATAGAATTTGGTACCGAGGAGTGGGGTCGTTTGCTGTGACTATACCTGACCATGTTTCTCGATAGGCTTTGGAAATTGCTTGTGGGCAGAGTTTGGAAAGGTTCAGACATGTCGCATGGATGCATAGAGCTGGAGCAGCGTAGGCTGTTCTGTAGAGGAGATTCTGGTCAGAGCTCAGGAGACCAGAAGCCTGATAGAAAGCCGGATGGTAAAGGCCAGGCTTGGGAGGTTTCTGCTGGGAAGAAGGACTGCATTGGTTGTTGGACTCCACATGATATGTATTATGGCTTGGCAGAAAGTTTGTCTGCATTTTGCTCCTGCCCAGAGACTTTGCTTGAGACTTCAAGACAAAGGGCAATGGACTGATTAATATTGAAAAAGAAATTAAAAACCAATCGAACATTGAGGCCGTGGCATGGCTATTGTTGGGGCTTTCAGCCAGCTTTATGTTTTAAATCAAGAGCAAAGAGCCCAGCAGGATAATTTACAATGCTATGAGTTTGGCCAGAAGGAAAATTCCAGCAAGGCTGTGCACTGTAAAGACAGAGTTGAGATATTGATTCCTGAAGAGAAACAGAGAGATAAGGAAGATGGCCCCGGGGCATCCCAGGAAGTAGGTCCCCACCCTATGCAGCTTTACAGAATTTGCTCAGAGGAGAAGGTTGCAGAGCACCATGCTCCAGAATGGCTACAGAGGCCACATGAGGCTCCAGAATGGCAAAAGAGGCCCAATGAGGTTCCAGAATGGTGGCAATGTAGAGAAGTTTTTTCTCACAATCAGGCAAACAGAGCCCTGCAATCCAGGTAACTGACCCCTACAGCCAAGAGAGAGAAAAGCCTGGCTACTGCTTCAGCTAGCAGCAAATCTTGGCGGCATCCACAAGGTGCTGATTTTAGGTGCAAGGAAAATGCATGAATTCTGAGGGTAAGATGGCTTCTACCTCCATTGCAAAGGGCCTGGGAGGCTAAGCAGTGTGTCCCTGAGAGGGCAATTTGTGAAGATGTAAGTGTGAAGACAAAGGTGCAGCGGAGACCCCAGAAGTTTGGAAAGCCAGGAACGTGGATGATCCAAGGGAAGCTGCAAAAAGTGAGCAGAGAGGATTAAGAGAGGAGGTGTGGGAGCTGATATCCCTGGAAGTGCCATGGAAGTGGAATCACCCAAGCCTTTTGGAGCTTGCAACCAGATTGCTTCAGATGCTGAGCATGGAACTCTAGGACTTAATGTTTGTCCTGCTGGATGTTGGACTTGCTTTGTTTCCAATGCTTTATAGTCCCCTGTTTGTAACTTTTGGAATGGTAATGTTTATCTTGTGCCTTTGCATTTCAGAAAGGTTTAATCCTGTTTCATTTATACAGGGGGTTACAGTTACGAGTTTACCATAGATCTTGGAGGAGACTTGGGACTTGGACTTTTTAGCAGTGCTGAAACTTAGGACTTTGGCAACTTTTGGAGGTGGACTAAATGTCTTTTGTATAAAGGATATAATGAGTCCTGGGGGCCAGGGGTGGAATGTCATGGGTTATGTCTATGGCCCCCAGGTCTCATGAGTTTGAATTGTGCATTTGTTATTGTTCATTGTCTAGTGCTTGTATTGATGGTGTCAGTGCTCCACCCACAAAGGGGTGGAGCCAGGATGTGATGTAATGGCAGGAAGAAGGTGTGTCTTGCTCTTTGCTGGTTCCTGCTTGTTGTTTGCAGCTGCCATGAACTTCGGCCCAGCCGTGCCCGCCTGCCTTGGAGCCAACTGAGTGTGGACTGAAACCTCCAAAAACTGTAAGAAATAAACCTTTCCTTTCCCAACTTGGACTTCAGGTATTTTGTCTCAGCAATCAGTAAAAAGTAACTAAGAAAACAAGTAATAGTAAGCAATTTTCAAGCAAGAAATTAGTGTTTTGATTTGTCAGATTTATTTTGTTTATCCTCAATTAAAGAGTTAAATGACTTTTACATTTATTTCTAATTGATTAAAATGTAAAGCATGCTAAGCAAACTTGGTTTCTCTTAATTTTTATCCTTTTAAAAAGGAAAATAGCATACCTCTGTTTATAATGCTCATTTAGGAACCACATAAACAAGTTAGGTATTCAAAATCACAGTTTCAGAGAGGCAAAAATTGGAAGTTTAGCAAAACAAAAAAAATGATATAAAAACAAATCACAAATATCCAAATAAAACTTATAGTACTCAAATATGCAAGAAATAATTACATATGGTATTTTAAAATACACTCACAAAAATATGCACAATTTTGTCCATAATAAGTGAAAATGATATTTAGAATTTTAATATCATAAAATTAATAACATTTTTCAATGATAATTTATAAATATATCAAAAAAGACAGGGAAATAAAACTATTAGTGATAAAGGGAAGTTTAGTTACTTGGACACAAAATAATTCTAGAGTTTAAAAGAAAAACTTCAAACTCATTTTATTTTTTTGTTTGCATATCAAATATTTAAAATTTGGCAGTAGAGTAGTGATAGACTTTGCTCCTTATAAGTAAACTGAATAAAGATACCCAAATTTGTCAAGTTTCCAAACCATTGTGAGTTCCTTCTATACTTTTAGTACTGTCCCATTGCTGGATGAATAGTTTGCAAATGTTTTCTCCCATTCTGTGCTTCTCCTAATTCTGTTAATTATTTCCTTTGCTGTGCAGAAACCTTTTAGTTTGCTGTAATCACACATCTATTTTTACCTTTGCTGCCTGTGTCTTTGAAGATCTTTCTAATAAATTGTTTCCTACCCTGGTGTCTTGAAGTGTTTAGGTATGTTTCCGTGTAATACATTCCTGGTTTCATGTTTACAACTATGTGTTTGTTCATTTCTCAGTTGAGTTTTGAGTATGATGAGAGAGAAGGGTCCAGTTTTAGTTTTTTGACCATAAGCTCCAGTACATGATGAGAAATCTTATAGCCTGGCTCACTGAATGATTGTTTCTTGGGACATGTTTAATGAACAGCCTTGTGCATGTCAAACATTTCTCTGACACTCACTGCACTTCCAATCGATGGTGAAATTATAACAGAAAAACTTGCATTTGTGTTAAGGTTGTGATTTAAAAGATAAGGGAGACAGGTTTTCAGTCTGGAGAAAATAGAGATTTGAAACACTCCAGGAGAACAGCAATCATTACGTAGAATTACACATGTAGAAACATGAATCTTAGAACCTGGACAGAAACATCACCAACTTGTAGTTCAAAGAAACCACCAGATCTAGCAGATGGAATTAAAAAAAAAAAAATATTTCTCAAGAGCACAAACACAAAACAAAGTAAAGTCCCTTTAAGGTTTTAAAAAGGTAAACTGATAAAAATTTGTCCATAGAACACTAGTTAGATATGACATTTTTGTCATCTTCTGGCCCAGCCTGAAATCAATTTATCTGACCTCTGCTTTCCTCCTGATCTTTGAACTTCACTTCATCAACTAAAGTTCCACAAACAACAATTAGGAGGTTAAATCCAGACAAACAGTTGTTTAAATCAGCAAAGTTGCATTGAAATACAGCCTAATTCATGAATTTACATATGGTCTCTTGTTCTCAAAGTCTAAAATATTTATTATCTAGCCCTTTATACAGAACACTTGTCAAATGGTATTAGAGATACAGCCTTATAAACAAAAGGGAAACAGAGGCAATGGTTAGTGGCAAATAAATGCTTTGGAAATGCTTAACAAAAGAAAACACTGTATGTTCAACCAAGTGACCAAGAAGTCTAGGAAAAATGTGATGTACCAAGGCTGCTATCGAACTAGAATGTGTCATGTTCAAGGACTTGTACATGATTTTGGCTGGCAACCAACTGGGAAATAAAGATGTCTGTGCTGCCACATCAACCAAACATGTTCTACTTGAATGCTCTTAAAAGCTGGGCCTTTCCCAGAGCTTCTAGCCCAGTTATGCCATCATCATCATTTCTGCCCAGTTAGAATTTAAGCCATAGACTGAGCAAAGAATAGTCAAATTTTGTTTTTAACCTAAAAAAAAAAAGTTGTTTTAATTTACTATGAGAGTATGGATCCTCCCCACTTTACTATCATATCCTCAGTGCCTAGACATGTTCCTGGCACATAAACATTTTTTAAAAGATTCCAATTAACCTGCTAAATTAAGAGGTAAGGAGAAACTATCTAAGAATCTTTCATAATCTCTGAGAAAATGTTGTTAAAAATGTAAACGGTTTTAGTGATATCCTCACAAATATTTAAATCTCTTTTTTAACGATGAATTGATTGCCGGAGACTGAATACTTAATTTAATGCATGTTTTAGTGAACTTTATGTGACACAAATTAATTTGCAATAGAGGCAGGACACCTATCTCTATGGTAATTAGTCATGGTCAGGTCTTAATTATCTTCTTAAATAGGAAAACAACAGATTTATAGTGATATCTACTATGGTATTCTTGACTGGTATTCTTTCTAATTTGCTAATGATTCCATCCACAGAAATTAGAAAACTCAGCATATGCATTTTAGCACAAAGATTTTGAAATACTACACATTTCTTAATATCTCAAAACTTTTGTGCATTCTACACTATTTTGTAAACACTGCAAAGTACTTTTATCTCTATTTTATGTATCAGTAAAGTGAGCTTCAGAAATATTTAACTAGCTTAAGGTCAGAAAAACTGTGTCAGTCTAAGATTCAAGCATTATTTTCTGTTCTGCTACACTGCAATCAGTGATTCTTTTGTAGATTAATGAATTCATAATTATTAGGAGTATAAGTAAAGTATGCAGCATATCTCAATATCTGCACAACATTTATAATAGATATTTGACTATGAATAAGATACTATTTTCACTGAAATTTTCTCTTGGAGACTTTCTTAGAACAACTTGGTTGTTTGAATTAGGAAGGTAAGAGTAAAATCTGCAAAGCAAATGAGAAAGTCTGTTAACTTTGATCTACATAAGAATTCAATCAAATTGCTCCCCCCTCCTTCTTCCTCCTTTTCTTTTACTCTCTCTCTCCTTCCCTTCCTTTCATCCTCTTTCCTTTCTTCCTTTTGCTTTCATTCATTGAAAGTATGCCTGGAATTGGACTCTATGTAAATTCAACAAGACAAATTTCTCCCCTATATTTTGGAAACTTTATGTAGGTTTTAAAATGACATGTTGCTAATTGAGATTTGAAGATAACAAGTTGCTAGCATTAAGAAGGACAGTTTAGAGAGAGAGAAACTGTAAAAGTATAGGAATAGTCAAGTGAGAAAACTTACTTTCCTTTTTTTAAAAATTTGAGTTAAAAGATGTTCACTGCTCTTGGACAATAGATTGCATTGTCTGAGGAAACAAAAACAAAGAGAACCTCAAAAGGATAAACGTGTGCTTTCAGTGCTTTCTAGGTTACATTAAAACATTGAAATTTATGCTGTGCCACTGAAAGTAACACAATAATTGGCTTTCTAGAATTGTTCACATAGTCCTTCAACAATATTCAAGGCTGGCTTTGGGTTCTCTGTGCCAGATGCTGGCGTGTGTGTGAGAAGCTATAGCTCTCAGTGAGTTCATCACTGTCAGGGTCCTTTCTCTCATTGAACTTATTATCTGGATGGATAGCTTTGAAAGGGCATTCTGATGTAACATAAATAATAAATTGTAGCAATGAAAGAGTGGTACAGGGACTGAAGTAGGAAGTAGACAGGAATGATTGCTAGAATGAAGGATTCAGGATTTAGCAATAAGGATGTCACTGGGGACAAAAATGGGAATATATTGGATGGAGGAGGCATTTAAGCTCAACTTCTTTCTGCAAAGGAAAGATGAAGCCATTTGTTATATATTATCACCCCTGTATGTCCAGCTTTGCTTAGCAATTTAAATTTGATTGTAAGCTATTGCCTTTTCCAGGTAAATGATTTCAAGTTCCTGACATTATATTTTGGGTTTCAGATAGGGACCAGTTTTATTTTTAAACTCTGTGATGATTTTTAACATGTGTCTACAGCTAAAGTATTTTTAGTGCTATGATGTCTTATTATGTCATGAAAATAGTCTTGAATATATTTTTGTTCAGCTTTTCTTCTGCTGTTTATCTATTTCACATCGGCTGTTCTTTCATTTGAAGTGTTAAAGATTCAAGCTTTAGCAACATCCTAATGTAAATCATATAGAATAAGCTTTACAATTTTAGAAGAAAATATTTGCAGGTCATTGACAATTTCAAATTGTCATTGTCTTTTAATGGTTTTGAGCTTTTGTAGAAAATTGATGTGTATAACAGAAGTGTTTACTTCACCTTAGAAGTTTTAGAACTTCTCCAATTGCTAATTTTATAAATACTTTTATAAAATGGACAAACTTTTTTGCTTAATCTGTTTTTGTTCCATCTATCTTTTCTTCTTATTCTCAGATATATATTTATTATGATAGGTGAGAAATGAAGAACAAAATACTCAAGCAAACATATTTGTCCATTTTGTTTTATATTTGATAATTCAATGTTTATAAATACCTATACTTTCAACTTACATATAAGGTATACTAACATGCAATTTAATAATTTTAATAACTAATAAAAGCAAGTTTAATATAATTTAAGATTTTAGAACTATTTAAGTAGTCTTGCAAAAATGCTGGGTTTTCCTATTGTGTTTTCTCATATTGCCTTTAACAGTTTGAGGACAAGCTTTGTAAAATAACCCAGTGTTAACTGGAAAATTTGTACCCACATTATAAATGCTAAAAGATAAAGCAGAAATAAGGGATTTTTCCCTTCTATAAGTTAATTCAATCCTTTCTCCTGTATTTATTT